TAATAAGAAAAATGTATCCAAATATATTTTGAAAAATAGTTCGCTTTGCTAAATTAAATATATTACAATACGCTAAGATTTTATATAATTATTATATAATTTGTTTAACACATTTATAAAAAAATTGATATAATGCGAATCAAGAACTTTATCTTTAATATATACATGTACATATGTTATTTTCTTATTTTTTATACATAATATAATAAAAAATATAATTCAGTAGGAAAAATAGAAGATTCAGGAATAACGAACTTCCTTGATATGTTAATTAGTTCATTCACATATATAATAAATTAGGAAAATTTTATTATATAATATATTTAATAAAAAAGAATAACGTATATATGTGACAATCTTTTAGGGTTCATGGATTTTGTATTAGGGATTATATTTTCATATTAGTGCATTTACAGAATGTGTTAATTTTTATAAATTATGTATTTTTTATATGCATTATATTTAATTTTTCAGAATATATCATTTTCATATTAATATATTTAAAATGATGAAATGTTTTTTTTTTTTTTTTTTTTTATCTATGTATAATTGTATTATTTTATTAATATTTGATAAGATTATGATAAATATAATTTTTTTTGTTTTTAGTATTCATAACATATTGTGTTATTTTTTTTGAGGTTATTATATTTTTATAGGATATATTATTAATCATATGATATCAGATAATTTTATTATATTACAAAGCATATATATTTTAATTTTTTTTATACCAAAATTTTTTTGAAACATATAGGAAAAGTTTATATTAGTTTTCATTTTTTATACCTTATTAATTTCTGTATATTTTATTATATATACTCATTTCATATTTACAAAAATTATTAAACTCTTTTTTTCTATTGAATATTAATTGCAGTTATAATTTTGTATTATATATGTATTCAATGAAACAAGTTACATTTTTTGAGCATTAAATATAATATTATATTTTTCAACAAATATGTGTAAGGAAAAGTAAATATATAATGGATTTATAATATTATTACAATTATACTATTTTGAAATGTGTGATATATTATGCATGTACTCATTTTCATGCATTTTGTAATTATTATTTATGTTATTAAATTTTGCATTATACTTATACGACAGTACAAATAAATTTAAATAATCCTCATTCTTAAGATTGTTCTATTGATATATATATATATATATAATTATCATATCATATTATAAAACAAATATTATATAGTTTTATAATATAATATGATAATCTTATTAGTATTTAATTTGTGCACTAATTTTTAATGATTTATTTCTAGTTATTTTTTAGTTAACACATGTATACATATTTTTTACAACCAACAAATATAATACAATAAGGTTACTTATCTATTTTAACTTATATTTAGTTTATAATGAATACATAATTACAAGCGTGAAAAATTAAAATAATCATAGAATAATATTAATATAAAATATTACATCTACCTTAATGCACGCCAAAAATATTTTTATATTTAAGATTTCTTATTTATGTTATACATTTCTTAAATTATATTTTGTTTTGTGAAAAATATATTAACATTTTTATGTATCACATTACAGATTAGTTATTAAATTTCAGCAATTAATCAATTAACTAGCATTTCATACAAACGATGTTTAAGCACTTCATATATAATGAAAGCAAAGAAAAAATAATGATATATGGAATGGATGAATATTTTGTTATATATTAGCTTTAATTGAAATTTTAATTAAGATGAATATAATATATATAAATAATGATCTAACAATTTTATATATTTTTTACAAATACATTTATTTGAACTAGTGTTATGCTAAATAAAACATTTGTTCTTAAGTAAATAATAATTAAATATCTGAAAATTAGATAATTCAAGTGTAGTTCATATTTTATGAGAAATATATAAAATTTATGATTTACTCCTTTTATTATAAAATTAAATATTATATGCCACATTATTTTATTTTAATATATATATATAATCCTTTAGGTACATTGAAAATTATGTGCGTTTCTATATTCCCAAAATAATTAAAAAAAATATGTCCTAAATAACTTGAATTATTATTATTATTTTCCGTTAACAAAAAATAATAAATGTATAATAAATATATTCTAATACAAGCGTAAACCTACATATATAAATATTTTACACACTCTTAATACTCCCTTAAAAAAAATATGAAATATAAAAAATTAAATTACACCATTATATTTATGTGTTATTTTGCATATATCATATAGTGCATACCTTAATGAAATTACCCATATATCTGACTGCTTATATTATTAATAATACATGATAGATATTTATTAAGATATTATTTCTTAAATGTTCATTGCTCATGTATGCTTAAAAAGACATTAAAAAAATATTTTTGGTCTAATAATGCAAAATAAACAAAAATGCATGTTTTGTAATTTTATAAAAGGTCAAATAACTGGAGTACATAATTATAATTCAAATGAAATATATAGAACGATATCATTAGTTTTATCTAATGTTCTAATTACTTCGCACATATCAATGATCATAAAAATAAATAATTAAGAATATTGAATATTAACATAATACCAGATAGATTAAAATAGTGAAAATATTTATAACCTTTTTTATATTGTTATAGATGATATAATATATATTATACTAAATAAAAATATATCAAAAAAGCATGATGCCGTAAAGAATAAATATTCTATTATAAGAAATAAATACAGTATAAAAAGTGATAACTTCTCTAGCATAATTAAGTGCATTATAAAGCAAATCTCTTATAAACATGCATAGTGTATATAGATATACAACTATTAAATTTCATATCGCTTCACCAAAAGTATTATAAGTGAAAAGCAATAAATATTAATATATTCAATTTTTTTAGGGCACAGGAATTTAGGATGTAGGTTTTCGGGTTCGGGCTTTAGGTTTTAGGTTTTCTGATTTTAGGGTAAACGGTTTATTTTTCATTTATTGTTCTTTAGGGTTTATTTATTTTTAGTTATATTTGTCCGATTTCACTCCTTAGTGTTTAATTTTTATGTTTTGGGGTTCAGCTTCTATGTTCTGTTTTTTTGTTATAGGTATCATTGTTATATTTTTTATATTTTGTGTTCTATTTTGTTTTTTTTTTATTTATATTTTATGATATTAATTTTATTTTTGTATTATTATTCATGTTTATTATTATATATAAATGTTTTTATGCGTTTATGCTTCAGTTATTATTATTTTTTGTATAATTATATATATATATATATTGTTTTATATGAAAATATATATATGTTATTTTTTTTTAATGCTTAATAATGTAATTTAATATTTTTAGTTATTTTTTTTGACGTTTTTATAATAGTAGTGTAGTTATATTATTTACATGTTTTTTATATAGTAATTATTCCTATATATAATAGGTTGCGTTAATATTATATTGTTTTAAAAAAAATTTTTTTTCAAAATGTATACATATATTATTTATTTTCTTATGTAAATGAGCAGTTCATATACATTTATTATGGAAATTTAATGATTGAAGAATATAAAACGTATATAATATATTTTTAAGGCTACAAAAAATAATATTCCTTAATATATAATTATGGTATGAGTAGTATTTGTTATAATATACACTTTCCTATTAATGAGAATATATATATATTCAATATATTATCATATTATCTTTTTATAATAATATGCATTATATATGTTTCATATAATATAACACAAAAATTTATAAATATTATACATTAATTTTTTATATTCAATACTTTTCTTTGATGTGTATTTGATATTATCTCTAACTTTAATGGATAAATATGTATACATTTAGATTGTAAGAAAAGCATAAAGCATAGGGGAATCATGTAAGAAAATACTAAAAATATATTTACTATGATATGCGGATAATGAAATATTAATAAATAATAGCAGCATGTGATCAGATGTTTGTGGTTACCTGAAACTCTTTTCTATAATAAGTAGTATATATAATTTAATCTAATTATATTTAACAATGCAAAGGACAACTCTTTTAAAAATATGATAATTCGTACCAAAGTTAATATTTGATATAGAAGAAATATTTAAAAACAAAGCGAAAAATATTAAATTCAACATTTATAAAATATTGTGAGACTGAAAAATATTTCATTGGTTTTTTATATTTTATAAGTATAATAATTTTGTATTCACCACAACAAAAAAAAAATGTGCTTTTTTTTTAATCGTTTTTACAATGTTGATACTTGCACTGGGATGTTTAAAGAAGATTTACACATATTATAATAATTCATCACATGAAATAAATAAAGAAAAAAATATATAAATAAACAATTGCTTACAACGAAAAAAAAGGATATAAACATATTATATGTTATAATGCATTTGTTTTTCGAATAATTAACTTATTTATAGTAAAGCTTCGAGAATTAGTATAATAAATTTGTAAGCACTTAAGTCTCATAATATTAAAACACATACAGAAGATCATGAAAAAACAATAGGAAATAAAAAATTAATCAAATCTATGCATACATAATAAATACAAATAAACATATCAATATTAATATTTTACAAAAATCATGATATATATAGAAAATAAATGAATATAATATGTTCAATTAAAATGCCAATTTTCAAATTTTACTTGGATTAATACCTAAACATATATTTTCTCTATTTACTTATACATAATATAGTGTTTTATAACTTAGAGACTACATGTACATGAAAAGCACTGTATATTAAAAGTGGATATGGATGACACTTACCCATTTTGTCTTTATCCATAGTTTATTGAAGAAAGAGATGCATTTTATATATTAATAGAATATTTATTTTGAAATTTTTAACTTCTATATAGAAAAATTAATATGAGCTTTTTACTATAATTATTACAATACATTTATATGGATACATTATATAAAAATTTTTGCATATAATTTGTTTAATGCTACTTATTTTGGTTTAATCAAATAATAGCAATGCTTAATATATATAATTGTAGATTTAGACTTTATTATAAAAAATGTGGTGTCTACTTTTCATAGTAGCACTTCTCACATTTTTGTACGATTGGAATATATTATAATCTTCATCTATATTATTCCATTTATTTCGTTTCCTTTTTAATGTTCCTTAAAAGCATGAATTATATGGGGTAAACTAGTTAATAAAAAAAATTATAAATTAAATAAATATTATATTAAAATTTTTTTTATAGTTATGTAGTAAATTTATTTTTTGCAACAAATATGTATAAATAATATAATAATTACTTTATGTAGAATAAATAAGGTTATTGATATTAATAATATCGAAAGAATTGTAATTACAATAGGAACTGATATATTATTTTTTTGGAACAAAGGTAACATTTTATATGTTAATTGGACGTAGCATTTAGTTGTACTTATTTCATTATATTTATCCCTAACATTTTTTAATTCATTACAAAAATCAGAGTAACTACTGGATTCACATGAATTCTTATATTGAAAATATAGTTGAGCGCATTTATTGACATCATTGCATTCATCATCATTATCAGAACCACTATTATTTAGATAAGTGTACATGTCATGCAGATCTTTAAGCTTTAACATTTCATCATCTGTAATAGTACTGTAATAACTTTTTACTCCTGCGGTACAATTGGTTAAATCAAGATCTTCGATCAATTTTTGATAAAGACTTTTAACTTCACTCACATATTTTTTAGTATCAGGATTATAAAAATATAGCCTATAATACAAAAATATGCAAGGGTATTCGGATAATTCATCCCTATAGTTTCTTACAACAATTTGCTGATAATATTCCACTTCTTTACATATTTTTTGAACACAATTTTTAAAACGTTTATATTTATCTTCTGAAAATGAACTACAATTGCCAGTCGTCACACTATCAATATGGTGTCTTTCATTTTCCATAATTTTTTTCAGTTCAGGAAATTTCTCTACAAATTTATACTTGAAAAAAATGAAAAATTATTTTATTATAAAAATTATAAATTACTAAAATTCTCTTTATTACTTTTATATAATAATTTTATTATGTAGTTATTTATATTATAATATTTAAGATGTACAATATTTTTAGCCATTCTTATATTTTTATATTTCTTTACAGAATGCCTCGATAGAACAATCAAATGTATGGTAATATATATAGAGTATTTAAAAATTAAAATTTATATTCTGAAATAAAAAAATTTGGTCATCTTATTTAATTATAGAACTAATATATAAAATGAAAGAACATCTTGATTATTAAATTTCACACACAAGAAAATAAATAACAATTATTGTAACATATAATATAATTATTAGTTATTTTAAGGAAAAAACATAAATATTTTTTCCTAGAATTAGAACAAAATAAAAAAAATTAGGTTGATTGTAATATTTTTTCAAAACCTTAAATTTATACATTTTTACCAATTGAATAAATTCAAGAAAAAAATATAATAATATTACATTCTATTAAAATAACTATATGAACAGTAATATTTATTATATCTCATTTACATTTTTTATAGTGATATGTATAATTTAATTAAACCTTATAAAATATTAGAACATAGAATGATTAAGGATAATTTTGTACCTAATTATTTCTTTTATGTATATAATGATGTAAGTTCATTAATTTACGTTATCATCACTTGCGAAGTACAGCTATCCATACAATTTATTAAAATCAATAATGGATGTGATAATATATAAGTCTTATAATACATTTAAAATGCAATAATATATAACATTCTAAATATTATATTTATATATTTTTTTTTAACTCATATAAGTGAAGCACATATCTATGCTGATAAGACTAATTTTTTAAGAATTTATACTCACATAACAGAATATATATATTATCGTGATACATAAACATGAATAATAAGTTATTTAAATGATTCGTATTCATTTCTATATTTTAAATTTTTATATACTTTTGATCTGTGAAATATGATCAGTTTTTATAGATATGAAATGAATATATACCATAAAACTTTGGTTTTATAATACAATGAATATATAAAATATTTTAAATCGGAATTACTCTAGAATTAATTACTCCTAATAACATTTGAATAATGTTTTATTTATGATCATCATATATATCAAAATTATTCATTATAATTATGATATATAAGGCATTTTATGTGAATATTATAATCACACAATGAATGTACATTTTATTATGTGAATATGAGCGACCTTATCATAAAAATTGTTTCTTGTATTTGATCATTAATTGTAAAAAACAATATTTTTTTAAAAAAAATTATTTTTTTTTATCCTCATTTTATCACAAAAAATTTAAGGATACAATAAATAAATTTACTTAATAAGTATATAGGGTGTTTACTCATAGTAAAATGGCGCGGTGACTAATTATCTTTTATGAAAATTTTATTTTTTGAGAGAAAAATATATTCACTATTAAGAAATATAGAATTTTATTTAACATTACTGATTTCTTTAATACTAAATTTTCTTTGCAATTTTATATATTTTTTATTATTCAAGAATTGTTACTTTTCAATAAAATAACGAATTTAGATGTATACGTTATATATGATTTTTATTAGGATTTTCACATATATAATAATGTATTCATTTATTATATATTATGTTTTCTTTGGTTTCACGTACATAAACTTATTCAACGTACATTTTTCTTTAAAATAAATATTATTATGATTATTAGTGTATAAAAATAGTCTCATGATAAAGTTTAAATTAATTTATTTAATATGACTGAATGTTGTATAATAGAGAAATATATGCATTAATTATAATTTATTTCATGGTAAATTACATAATCAAAAATATAATTAATTGTCATGATTATTGTGTAACATATTATTTTATTTCTTAAATTAATGGTGAAAGCACTTCATAGAAAAAACTATTATATATTAACTCTACAAATTATGAGAGCCTTTTACATAAATATAACATCGTAAGAGAACAATATATGTTTTTTAAAAAAATATTGAACTACGTATATAGCCTTACTTGTATAACATTCAAATGAATTCATTAAACTGTTCCAAAGAAACAAGATTCTTAAATGGACAGTATATGAGGTATGCATGAAATTACAAAACCAAAAAGAAGGAACATATTGTGTAAATACATATATGGAACTATGAAAATTCATTTCTTAATAAAAAATTATGTAAAACTCTAAACCAATATATAATGACAAATGAAAGGAAATATAAAATATATATTGAATCTATAAGTTAGATAATTAACGATTTTATAAAGAAAATGTACAGGGGAAATGGGTTTAATATATAAATATATACTGAATTCATATGCTATCTTTGGAAATGAAAAATATGTAATATATAGTGGATATAATTTTATAATATTATAAATATAATATATTCAATTCATAAAAATTATATATCATCAATATATCATCCTCTATAATTATAAGAATATTTAACATTATATAATAATATAATGTCTATGTAAAATCCTAATTCATATATCTATAATTTAATTATTATTCATATAAATACTACAAACACTAGATGTCAAATTTGCTCAATAAATATTTCTCTGTAAATTATTATTACGATAGTTATAAATCTATGTATATATGTTAAAGTAAAAAATGTATTAAAAAAATAAACTTAAATATATATAAGAATATCAGAAATAAAATATACAGAAAATAAAAACATAAAGTATTTTTCTGAAAAAATATATGGTGAAAATAGATATTTTTCCATAAATTAATAATAATATTTAGAATCCATGCCCACAATCTACTTCAATATTAAAAAACATTTTCTAATATATTCAAATATAATATTCTTTTCATTACATATTTAAAGGGAATACACCTTGATTAATAATTCTCATTTATATTCAATATCTTATTTTTTCAATTTCTTATGATGTATGACAACAATAGTGCTCATGTTTACGAAGTTTTTCATATTCATACTAAAGAAATCTTATTAAAATATATTTATAATATAATTTAATCATTTTTACTTAATTAATATATTTTATAAAGGTGTATGTTGTCTTTTACATCTATCTTTTTATAAATAAAGACATATGTTTATTTCTGACACTACCATATTTGTATACATTACATTTTTCTAACGATATATCATTTTCTCACAAATACGTATTATATAATACTATTCTTTATTAATATAAAATTTAATTTTAATTTTTTTTTTTTTTTTTGATTATATTATGTTTTACTGTTCATGATTTATTCTATAAAAGAATGTTTCTTAAATTCTTACATTTATATTTTTATTTTATTACTGCAGTTTAATATTAATGAATTTTACTTATTTTCATTTATATATATTATTATTGATATAATTTAAGACATATATATGTTATTATTATTTCATATTTCTATATTTATTATGCGACATAATTTTGAATTATCTCCCTATTTTTTTGTATAGCCCCTGTTATTGTAGATTAATGAATTATGCTTAGATACTTATACATGAAAAGGATACCTATGGAAGCTATTAATAATTCTTTTATCATAAATGAATATAAAATAAACATTAATGAACATAAAATGCATATCTAATTGTATTATGCAATACATAGTATATATTAAGAAGAAAAAGTTATGTATCATATTCAATAACACAGAACATTAATAAGTTAAAAAACATTGTACATTTATTTAATATATATTGTCTATAAGGACCATGGAAGATATATAGAATAAAAATATAGAAATATACATAAAGTATATTTTTTCTATTTTTTATTATGATTCTACATTATTTTATATAATGTTTTTATTGTTTTTTATATAAATTTATTCAAAACATATAAATTGGTTAAAATGTCTTTCCGTTCAAATTTATAAATGATCATAATTTGAACTTACTTATGAAACCTTATAATTTATAATTCTTTTAAAAATGAAATAATGCACATTTTATAGGTCTCATTTAATTAGTTTTATGTTTATATGAATGTTAAAATAGATAAAAGTGCAACGCAATAATAACAAAATGAAATAAATAAACAAGGGTGAAACGAAAATTTATATATGTATAAGGATTATTTTATAAATTTAAGGACATAAATAATTTTTATTATAGTTTTTTCAAGAAGAGTAATGTAATATTACAAAAATCTAAGAACTACTAGTTAGCATAGCGTACAGAAAGATACATATTGTACACTTTTCTATATTAATGCCTTATTATATGCTGAATAATATAACAACATGAAGTAAATCTAGGTATAGAACTGTATTACATAATTTATATTAACAAAATAGTATTATGAAATATATAAGGTAAAAAAATGCATTTCTACATATATTGTAAAATTATATTTTAGTTAAGTTCACGAATTGCAACAAAAATCACAATCCATAGATGTTCATAAGTAACGTGCTATAATACGTCATATTAAAGTATAATCTATATCATCCAGAAATGTGCCTTCAAAATGATGAATGAAAGTAAAATTAGAATTTTATAAAATATTACTAAATCAAATATAAAGTTTAATTACTGTTTAATTAAGATAACTACAATTTGTAAATGAGAATTAAAGATGCATACGTTTCCAATATATTATATATAATTTCTATAGAGAAGTGAAAAAAATAAATATATTAGAATTTTTACTCCTATTTCATAATAAAAAATATGAA